CGGGCTCGAAAACGACCTCAGCTTCCTTCCCCAGTACCACGGGGGCCACCAGTGGTTCAACCACTGGGCCAAAGGCTCTAAGCTCATTGCCCACGTCAACAGGCGTCTCGTTCCAGCCTCCCTCATCCTCGTCTTCATCCTCTTCTCAGGCTGGGGGAAAGATCGGGAAAGGGCTGTCGTCAAACGTCAGGCAGCCTTTCCCAGTGTCCCTGTCCCTGGCATACACCCACCCTCAGCTGGCGCTCCTGGCTGCTCAGACCATGCACCAGATCAGGCACCCTCGTCTACCCATGGCGCAGTTTGGTGGCACCTTCTCTCCTGCTGCTAGCACCTGGGGACCCTTCCCCGTGCGCCCTGTGAGTCCCGGCAGTGCTAACAGCTCCCCCAAACACAGCGGAGGATCCAGTAACACAGGACCACAGGCCAGACCCAACTCGAATCACAGTGAACACAGCAGCACCGCAAGCTCAGGAGTCCCAGTCACGACCACCAATACCGCCACCACCAGTGCTCCCAACACATCCGCTGCTATAGCTACACCTCTTACGCCTAACCCTACTCCATATAATCCCCAACAGAGTGTCGCTACGCCTTCCTCTGTCAGAAAACAGCTCTTTGCCCCAGACCCCAAGCCTGCCGGTGTCACACCTGTTTCTGTTTCGTTGCCTTCCAGCGGCAGTAGTACAGTACGAGGCACCGGCTCTCCCGCACATCACAGTTCCACTACAACTACGGCAAATGCTCCTCAGCAGCCAGTGGGACCCATTTCACAGCCCCCCATCCAGCCAGTTAAAACAGAGCCCAGTGCTGCTCCCCCTGCTGGAAAAGACAAGTCGTCTCTGCCCGTAGAGAGCCAGCCCACTGCTGTCAGCGAGAGCGGCAACTCTGTGAGTTTCGCGGCCCCTGCCATGTCCTTAGCTCCAAAGCCAGAACCCCGCCAGCAGTTACCTCCCCCTCCCTCCTCTGTACCATCCACAGATGTTCCGCAGCCTCACCTCAACCCACAGCCCAGTTCTCACCTACCCACAGCACCTGCTGCTGTTTTCTCGCACAACGTCGCGCACCCCAACAACACAGTACCCCACTTCTCAGCACCTGCGCCCAGAGTCTCCCATCGTATGCAGCCACCAGGGCCTTATTATTCCCTTTCTGAGCAGCAGCAGCAAACACAGCAGCAACAACAGTCTGTGTTTGTACCCTTCAGCACTCACCAAGAAGTCCCAAAACAAACCCAAAACCCAACTTCCCAGCCAACAAGTTTGCCTCCACAAGCTCAGACCCAAGCTCAAGCCCAGATCCCAGGCTCCCTTCAGGTCTCTGGTAATCTTGGAATGATGAACGGTTCTCAAATGCAGCATGTCGCCAATGCAGGCAAGCCTCAGCAGATGCACGCCAACCTCGGTCATACAGGTCTCTTCAGTTTCAGCAGCATCTTTGATAACGGCAACCAGGTAGGCGTAAATAAATCTTCACAACTACAACTTTACTTGACCGTGCATTTACTTTGGTAAGGGCACCATTCAGCTGGATTGTGATAGTAATCAGTTGTGCTTGCCTTAGCAGGTGGGAAACAATCCAGTGTGGGGTGCATGCCATTTGCCTACTCGATCACCCCCAGAGCAGTCTTTCTCGGCTCAGCAAGCGTACATGAGCATGGGCCAGATGGAGAATATGATGCCCCCACCTCCTCCAGACAGCTCAAAAGCCCCTGGCTACCGTTCCACCACCCAGAGGATGGTCAACAGCCCCATCGGTATGGCTGCATTTTTGTTTAATTCCAGTTCTTTGGGTTTAATAATCAAAATAATTATCAGAATAATTTCAGGAGAAATAAAGAAGGTGGTGATTACAGTACACATGCAACCGGATGTGGTGAATCTATGTTGACATGTAAGGTCTTATTTATATTTAGTACTGTAAAGCTGACAGTCTCCTTCTATTGTCTGTGTCCTTAGCGTTGCCTAACTTTGCCACCGGGATCTCTGGCAGTGCTGTTTTTCTACCTGGTCATACAGCTGGCACACCCTCATTCAGCAGACAGCACTTTTCCCCCCACCCATGGAGTGCATCCACATCAGGTACCAGGCTCACAGACCGCTTCTCTTTAATTCTTTTACATTTTAGGCCTTAAATGTACCCCTGACCCCTTTTATAATCCCTTTAACATTAATTTAATATTAGAGAGTTTAATAGCATTTTTCCATGCTTGTTTAAAAACAAAAACAAATCAGTCTCTTAAAAATTATTTGGAAGTGCTCTAACCTAGGCTTTGTCTTTTCCCACCAGGTGAATCTCCTGTCCCACCTCCCTCCACGGTGTCCTCCTCTGCCCTTTCCACCTCAGCGGTTGCTTCACCTCCTCAGCCTAAGCCAGGCAGCTCCTCGCAACAGGACCGGAAGGTTCCCCCACCCATCGGCACAGAGCGGTTGGCCAGGATCAGACAGACGGGGTCTGTAAACCCACCTCTGCTCACAACCAGCTACACGGCATCAGTTGGACAGGGAGGCATTTGGTCATTCGGGGTTGGCAGTGGTTCAGGTAAGAGCAAATTGGGCCCGTGTGAGAGTTGAACACAGCCATATACAGAAATGGGTTCTCAGTAACTTTGGCGTCCAGCGATAAAACCGCCTTGTGTTGTTTTGGTACAGAGGCCATGTCTGGTTGGTCCCAGCCCTTGATGAACAGCCACATGATGCACCCGCAGATGCACGCGGAGCAATCGGCCTTCTCTCAGCACCAGCCCATGGAGCAGGACGACACGGGCATCGCAAACCCTGCTAACAACTACCACCAGCCGCAGCATTTGCCCAACAGTTACATGGATTTCCCAAAGGTAACTCAGAGTAACAGCTCTGACGGACTTTCAATGCCCATTTGTCTGTGTACTTGTGTTTTAACGGCTATCTGTGTCCATTTTGTCCAGGGGATGCCAATGTCTATGTATGGAGGAACCATGCTGCCCCCTCATCCTACCATGGCAGAAGGCCCAGGGGGGCCGATGTACAATGGTTTGCACGCTGGTCACGCTGGTGACCCTGCATGGAGCCCCATCATTAAAGTGGTCCCAAACAATGCAGATAACTCTGACCCACAACAGCAGGTAAAGTTGGCCTTTATTAAGGCAAGTGTCGCAAATCAGACTTGCGACACTTGTGCAGATTTATGCCGTTTTATAAGGAGCAGCATTTGACTAATAACCCCACTGACCTTTCTCCTCTCTCCTTCAGGTGTGGACCGGTACCTGGGCACCTCATGTGGGCAATGTGCACCTGAACCATGTCAATTAGACGGCATCCTACAGCAATCAAACACACACAGCATGACCCACAGTGCAAACATGTAATACCAACTGACCGATACGACCGAATAAGACGACGAAAAAATTAACGCGTAAACTTTTAAACTTTAGTAGAGACCTGAAATGCAGAGTAAAGGTTGAAGAATTGGAAGTTCTCTTTGACGCCATTCTTTGATGTGCCTATCTAACGAGGAAAGAGGAAATTGGGCCAGAGCTGTTATCAGTGTCCCAATGATGCAAACACACACAC